GTGTTTATCAATACATATCGAAATGTAGAAGAAATTTTTCAAATCGGACCATTCGTTAAAAAGTTATGCGTGATCAAAGTTTCTATCTCCATCTCCCTCGCACTCCCTTTACCTGAGTAACGGGTATCTGATAGTCGGGGCACCCGACTATAGCGTTCTCTCTTGTTATACCCTTGCAGAGGGTATTATAATTTTGGTCAAAAGTGTGCAACGCAGTGAAGGAGACATCTCCGACCCTATAAAGTATATATATTCTTGATCAGGATCACCTCCTGAGTTGATATAGCCATGTCCGTCTGTCCGTCTGTCCGTCTGTCCGTCTGTCCGTCTGTCTGTCCGTCTGTCTGTTTCTACGCGAACTAGTCTCTCAGTTTTAAAGATATCGAATTGAAACTTTGCACACACCCTTCTTTCCTTTGCACGCAGTATATAAGTCGGAACGGCCGGGATCGGCCGACTATATCCTATAGCTGCCATATAACTGATTGATCGGAAATGCCATAACTCTGCTGTTTGTTAAGTTAGGAAGTTGGGACTCTCTATGGGTATTATATTTGGCCAATCAATCCGACGTACCAAATTTCATAAGGATCGGCCGACTATATCCTATAGCTGCCATATAACTGATTGATCGGAAATGCTATAACTTTGTTGTTTGTAAAGTTAGGAAGTTGGGATTTTCTATGGGTTTTATATTTGGCCTATTAATCCGACCTACCAAATTTCATAAGGATCGGCCGACTATATCTTATAGCTGCCATATAACTGATTGATCGGAAATGCCATAACTTTGGTGTTTGTTAAGTTAGGAAGTTGGGATTTTCTATGGGTTTTATTTTTGCCCAATCAATCCGACATATCAAATTTCATAAGGATCGGCCGACTATATTCTATAGCTGCCATATACATAACTGAACGATTGGAAATGCCATAACTTTGGTGTTTTTAAAGTTAGGAAGTTGGGATTTTTTATGAGTATTAAGAATGCATCATATGAATAATTTTGGAAAATATAATTTGCAGAATATTCTGCAAGGGTATTTCAACTTCGGCTCCGCCCGAAGTTAGCTTTCCTTTCTTGTTTTTAAATATTTTTAAATGGGTTTTTTATTGGGTTCATTTTTGGGAATAGTCAGCCTACTGCATAGCAACATGATTAAATAAATTCAAAATTATATTAATGTGTGTTCAAAACAATAAATTTATGTTGAAAACATAAACATGTTAGCTTAGGCTCAACTATTCTATTTGTTTTAGAGTCAAGAGCTGGCATCACTGATTACTCAGTGTGTAAGTGGGAGACAGATGAAGTCAGAGAGAGCAAGCACTAACGCTGCGCATGTGTCAATGCCAACGGCGACGTCAACAGCGACGCCGGCGCACCAGCGTTTACCTGACTCCGCGGTCCTTTTTTTACCTAAGCGAATTTCATCATTTCGTAAAACCAAACTTGTAAATTTCCAAGACGCTGGATATTACCAATGTTAGCGGACACATTTAACGGTACACCGTTTTTATAGCTGATGAAATACCAGGAACGATTAACTCAGGAGCATCTGCAATACCCAGGAAAAATGCCAGGTACTCTTAAACAAATTGATGAAATAGCCATTGTTCTGATAGACAGAAAGCAATAACCGGCCGATTAATCACCAATGACACGCCAGAGTGCAATAATCTCATGCCCCTCAACTTTAGGCCTCTCCCCATTAGAACACCTAAACAGAAATCCTTTAGCGAGCCCAAAAGCAGATAAGATCTTATCAAAAAGGTGGGTAAACTAAATAAATATATGTACAGCTGCGGTTAAAATAACAGCACCTAAAAGTTCACTTGCATTTTTTATAAAATATGTATATATACAGCAGTATATATATATATATATAGCAGTTAAATCGTTTTACAAAAAGATTATGAATTTTGTATCTTTGATCCTTTGTATTTTTTAAATTCAAGTTACAAATAAACTAAAGTAGTTCAAGGTAATAGCACCGCTTGTACAGAAAGTACTGTTTTATTCTATTTTAGTGTTTTTATTTTGTGGGTTTGACGCTTTTTTTTGTTTCAAATTTTGTAACATTTTTAATTTATATATTGTTTTCAACATCGGACCAGAAATTTAAAATTAGAATTTAATTTGCAGATTGCGACGGCTGCTTCTATACATTTATGGGGGATTGTATATGAAATTAATTTACTAAAATTACATCTTTCTCGTATGCTGTGGATTATTATCCTATTTTATGAAAACAAATTAAAGAATAAAGAATAATACACTTTCGATTTACCGGTTTAAGTGTTTTTTAAAGAAAATAATATATTTATTATATATATTATTACAATTCCAAGGCTATTTTAGTATCAAGGAATGATTTCAATCAAGGAGAACAATTTTGTTGGACAGAAAGACAATTTCGTATTTGATTTAGGCATGATTTAATTATTGAGATACAAATAAAAATGTACGGCAATAAAAAAATTCCAATTAAAATTGTCTACAGTAGTTTAAATTATTGTGGAAATTTTAATTTTGAAAGTTGAGTTCTTACAAGTGAACACAACAGGTTTTACGATGAACGCAACTAGTTTATGTTTAAGTTTAAAATATACATATGTACATTCAACATTCAATGCTATGAACATATTTCAACATTTCTACTAGTTTAAGAGTTGATACTGAATAACTAAAATATTTTAAAATATAGAAAAAGTTCGAATACTGTCTTGTGACATTAATGACATTCATTTTTGCTGATTTTTTTTGATTAAATTGTGAAATATAACAGCTGAACCTTATGTCCTATGTATAGTTTTAATGTACTTTGAATTGGTTGTGGGTGATGGGTAATACTAATAATTTCGCAGGAACAAAGTGCATAAATTAGTGGATCTTTGGTAAGAGTAAGAGTCTAGGTGACGTTAAAGTGCCACGGATTTGGAGGCGGAGAAAGAGGGAAAGCAGAAAACCCTGAACCAAATCCAAGTGAACTGAACTCCTCTGCCGCTGCAAACTGATTACGGAGCGTCGGCAGCGCAGTCAGAGTTTATCAGCTCTCTTTTCTTTTGTCGTTGTGGGGGGCAGAAAAGGCACTTTCTCGTAGGGGAGCGGCAAAGAGCGTCTGCCAGGGGGCAGCTAACTGCAATTAATGGTAAATGCCACTCTTGTTTGTCTCCTGTACTTTATTAATATGTATCTAGATCTATAATCTTTAAGTGGTTCAAAAGCATGACTCACAAAAAACTCAAACTGCAGTGTAAACAAATTAAGCCAAGTAGCGAAAAGCAAACAAAAGAAAGTTAAGAGATACAAATAAAATATCATCCGAAAATCCATAGTATAATAAACACACGATCAGCTGTTTGGCTGGAATTTATCGATATTCGATACTCCGAGCCGTCTGCAACTCATTCTCTATTTCCCTTTGCCCTGCTTTTTCTTCTCGCGCTCTCACTCAGCTGTTGTTTTGTTGTATTGCCTTTCCTTAGGCACTCTGATGCAGTTAACAGGAAAAGTTCCGGAATGACGAACAAATGCATACACAGGCACCGAGTTATTCTTGTAAAATATGTAAATTATGGCAATTAATTGCAATTTGGCTCAAACGGACGCACATAACAACAATGCGCGAGGGTTGCTGACGTTCGAAAAAAAGAAAATGGCAGCAGGTGTAGTTGCACTTGGTATAACGGCCAACGGAGGGTGGGAAGCGGGTGGAATTTATGCATTTAAAAGGGCGTCGTCGGTTGCGCTGGTATTGGTGCATAAAACTATAACTAACGGTTAATTAAAACCGTGCCCCACTCACACTTACCTTATAATCTTTAATCAATTTTCACAATGGTGCGCCAATGTGTCTGTGTGCCAGTGTTATTGTTGTCCGCTTGCTTGTAGAGTGTGAGTGCGGTATGTTCGTGTGTTTTGGTTTTAATCAATTGTAAACGGGCACAAACACACAGGCGCAGCAAATTATTTTACATCAGCTGTGGCTGTGTTTGTATCTAAGTATGTGTGTCTGTTTGTGTTTTTATTTGCAACAGCAACAACAACAAAAGCTCTTCCTCTTTATTTTCGCTCGCCTGCTGCTTCCTCTCTTTCAACGCCACAGTGTTGTTTTATTTTCCCCTTTGCCTTCCACTATTTTCTTATTTATTTTGTATGCTATGCTTCCTCTTCCAATTGCTTATTACTTATTACTTTAAAAGCTATTTTCGTTGCGTATCAAATGTACCAGTATATAAAACCCATCAACTTGAGTTGCCCTAATCTCAGTATCCATCAATATGTTCGAGCAAAGAAATATTTTCCATATAATTCAGGCTGTCTTCGTATTGCCCTTCATTCTGTTCTCTTTCGCTGTTTGCTTCCCTTTTCTTAATCTATTTCTTTGTCTATCACAATTGCGTTGTTGTTGCTGCTGCTGTGGATGTTGTTGTTGTTGGTGCTGCTTGCTTATGCTTTCTGTTTTCTGCTGCTTGTTGTTGTTGGCAGTTTTACTTTTCGCGTCAGTTATTGGCCATTTACACAAAGCGGGCACGGGAGCCGTTTGGGGTTTTGGAGAGGCACAATTTCACTCGCGCATATTCTAGCTTTGCTTAGATTTCTAATTAAATTAAATGGTATAAAAATGAAATAACGCACTTCGTTCTCACTTTTTGTCTTTGCTTATGCCTCGCGATGTGAGAATGACAACAGATTTTCAAGTCGATATCGATAACGACACTTGGGGTGATACGTTACTCAAGTGATACAAACTGTGATCTTATAGCCAAGTTCCACTGGCCCTTTTTGTTTGAAATGTACGTTATTAACAGGTGCGATAAGTAAATATTTCTGCAGACTAAAGCAGCAATAATAATTTGTATTCAATTATTACAAAAACATTAAAAAACATTTCTGTTTGCGTTAATCGAAACTCTTGACAGAAAGATTAACAATTATCAACGATTGAATTTCGCGAATACAGTAAAACCTTTCATTGTTCCATCCCTCCTTGTGTTTCGTAAAACAAACCTATCGAAAGTCTACCATCCCTAGCGAAAAGTGCAAAATAAAATATTCTGAAAAGTTTTCTTTTTAGCAAAAAGCAAGGCATCCACACACAAAAAGTCACAGCATTTATTATACTTAAGTAGCATTAAAAGGGATTGAAGGTTAAGGTGACCCAAAATCCCAGACAAGTAGATACGGACGCCCATTAAACAGATTTTCCCGACGTACACTCTCATGAAACATACAGGGGGCACGGGCGGCTTATTTCTTTTGCATTTTCCTGGGCGTTCTTTGAGATTACACCTTAGTTTCTAGGTCTAGGTTTAGTTTGCTTACTGGTAAAAGAAACACAAATATTACTTTCTGTATTTTGCCTCATTACATTGTACTGTGTCGAATCCAAAAACCGAAAACCACACCTTTTCCAAATGACCAACATCCAGAGCATAGAAAATGTGGTGGACTGCACGCCTCTTTACCTGCCGCACAGCTTGTACCTCAAGCCGGTGGCCAAAATGCAAATCTCCGTTTCGCTGCCGTCGATCAAGTCCGGGAAATCCGTATCCAACCTCGAGATAATGGACAAACTGGGCGCCGAGCTCAAACCGGACAAGTTTCTGCTGCTCAAAGTAAGTTCCGAGCCAACACCGCCGGTTTTTCCCAACGAACTCTTCTGTATCGAAGTTATGTTTCTTGCTTTTCCTATTTATTGCTAAACCTATCATTGTTAAAGCCCTTTATTATCAACTTCATTTCAAATGCAATGCAAAAATGTTGTACATTAAACTTGTTAAACCCTAGGTATTGTAGATTTGCAACATTATACTTCGAACCTGTTTTCGCCATCAGGTCTCCAAGAGCACTGTGAACACCATCCGTTTGGAAGCTGAGCTGGATGAGCGAAAACGTCTCCGGCCTGCCATCCAACGCCTGGACGGCATTTCCCTTCGCATCTCAGGCTTCAGTGAATCGTTCCGAGTGCGTTGTACAGAGCATAAAGATGAGTTTCCCACACGACATGATTGGGATTCCTACTTCAGAGATGCCCGAAACATGGACGAAATGAAGGCGGGCGAACGGCCGGATACAATTCACCTAAGTCACCTGCCCATGCGCTGGTTCTGCCCGCGGCACTCGGAGCACGAAGAGCACGTCAAGCCCAGTGAGAGCATCTTCAAGCGAATCTTCGAGAAGTACGGAAGGGTCCGTATGGTGGACATACCCATCTGTGATCCGTACCGAAAAAGCATGCAGGCGGACATCAACGGTATGCGAACTTTCAGCTTCGAGCAGGATGTTCTCTTTGAAGCGTGAGTACTTATTCAAACAATTTTTTTTTTTTTGAAAAACTTATTTAAATTCATAATAATTTTTTTTTTTGCAGATATGTACAGTTTGAGGAGTACTCCAGCTTTGTGCGTGCCATGGACGAGTTTAGAGGCACTAAGCTGGTCCGAAAATTTGTGGACAAAACCCAGGCCATCAACATTTGTGTCAACTTCGACAAGCAGAAGCATCTCAGTGACTCACACGTGCAGCGCCGAGAACGCATGAGAAAGAAGTGCATCGCGAAAGCTCAAGCCGAGGACGAGGAGCGGGAAAAGCTAAAAAAGCAACAGGAAGAACAATTGGAACGCGAAAGGTTTGATCATTGTTTTGGGCCGGTAACCGAAAACAGTAAACAAATAGCAATTACTCTGTCAGTTCAATGATTAACTCCGGGCAACATTTTATATAACATAAAATCTTTAATTAGGATTTGTTTTGAAATGAGTATTTAAAAGGTGTTAGACCTTAAACTATTAACTATTACTCAATAATAATATTTAAATTTTTTACCTCGCCTTTTGCCTGTGCTATATAAGCCATGACTCACATTATTCATTAAGTACAATTTTCACGAAAATATTGCGTTTACGCCTGACTGCTATATTACTGTTTTCAAATTTGGTCATTTTACATTTATATCTTTATGCTTCTCACCTGGCGGCCGCTGGGCGAGGCGAGCCTTTAGCCAACCGTTCTCTGTATCTTCTAGACGAACAGTTAACAAATATTTATTATGCATAACAAAAATATCAAAAGCAAAACAAAAACCCGCAACATTGCAACAAAAATTACAGGCAAAAACAAGAAGAGTTGAAAATTTCGGAAGCGGAAAAGCAGCGTGAACGCGAAGAAAAGCGGAAAGAAAAGCATCTAAAAAAGATACAGGAACGCGGCCAGGTGGAAATCTCGCAAAAAATTCGCATCGAGGAGCGGAAGCTGATGATAGCACAACGCAAGCTGGAAAGCATTCGCACTCTAGAAAAGCTATTCGAGCGGATACAGGTAAGGGCAATCTTTATAATATATTTTAATGTCGTACTTAAATTTAAATATTAAATCAGGAATATTTGTTTGAAAAATGGTCTTATAAATGGGGGTTTCATAAAGTTGACAACTAATAAAAGAAAATAACATTTTATTTATTTTTTAAACCATTAAAAAGGCTACATTTAATATGGTCTTTATTAGATTCGAAAATCATAAATTTTGTATGAATACAAAAGAGCTCCCAAAACCTTTATATTGCCTTAATATGATTGTTAGGAGAAATATAACACATACCTGTACATAAAGCTCAATTTTCTAATCTTTCTTACAGATGAAGCAAAAGGACAAAAACCGACGGGCCAAACAAGATGAAGTCAAAGATATCCAACGGGGGCGTCTCGTGGAAAAGTACAAGGCTGCTACGGAAAAGCTCGTCTGTGATCAGCGCAAAATCGTCCAGGACATCAAGAGCAATACTCCACTAATGGGTCTTCTGAAGAGCAAATCCAAAAATAGCACCGCGCCTACGGATGCAAGCAGCGATGACGATGGGATGGCGAGTAAAAGACACAAGATGGGCAATGGCTTAGCGGACTCCACAGCAGCGAAATCCGGGGACGGCAACTCAACATTAAACCCGTTAAAAGCGGTGGCCGCAATGGCTGCTGGCGCTGTGCCTGGAGCAGGTCCCTACAGTGCCGAGGCGGCCAGCGAATGGATGCAGTCCCTCTCGATGTTCGGATACGGCCTGCCAGGAGTATTTCCCGGAGCATTGTATCGTCCGCCCGCTCCGTTCCCCGTCTCCAGCAATTATCGTGGTTTTGCTCCCCGTCCCCGCGGTCGAGGAAGAGGTCGTGGCATAGGGATAAGGGGCAGTCGTTCCGGATATGACTCCTATTACAATTCTAAGCATGATCGCTATGATGACGAGGGCGATAATAGTTACTACCACAAGTCATCGCGTGGGAGGTAAGAATCAGGTCTTCAAATTATTGGAACATTAAATTGAATGTTTTTTAATCTTCAGAAATCGCTCGCGCTCCTCATCTTCGTATTCGAGAAGTCGAAGTCGATCCCGGGGACGCCGGTAAGTGATGTGTATATTTAAAATAGATTGTGCTATAAAAAATATGTTTAGTATTGTTTGTCGTTCCAGGCGCTCAAAGTCACGCAGCCGCTCCCATTATCGAAAATCATCCTACTCATCAAGATCCAGGTAAAAATTTAAATTTATTCTCGTAGAAAATTAAATTGTACACAATTTAATTAAACAAAAATTGAGCTGTTAAATGGTCAACGTTATATAAAGAGGAAAAAAACATAATCGCGATTTCTTAAAAGCAAGACAAAGATATTTATAAGCTTTCATTTGCAGCCCTAACACAACATTTTTTAAAACATTAAATATACAAAAAATGTTTGAAGAGGCAGGAAATACACGCATCTAACTTAGAATTTTTAAAATTTTGCAGGCGCAGCCACAGCAGATCGTCGCGCAGCCGCAGTAAGACGCCATCCCAGCGCAGGAATCGCAAGTTGGCATCCACGCGCCGATCCCGATCCACCAGCTATTCTCGGTCGCGTTCCCATTCCCGCAGGCGTTCCAGTTCGCGCCGCGATCACAGGAGCCGTCATCGCAGCAGTCGTAGTCGCAGCAAAAGTCGCAGCCACACACCAAAAGACGTGAAACTGGAAACGGACAAGTTGGTGGCCTCCGCCGAGAAAATACAGCGCACCATCGAACAGCATACCAAGGATCGGATGCGGGAGGAGGAGCGCGAAATCAAAGAGAACTTCAGACACCCACGCACCAACAGCAATAACAGCAACCACATGGACGCCCAGCCGGAAGAGGAGACCGTTGAGAGACGTGGCAGCATCAGCAAGCGCAGCAGTCGCCGCAATTCACTGACTGCCTGAAACATATTAATTAGTTTAGCTGTTAGTTAAAGTTCCGTAAATAAAAATATCAAAGTTGTTCCAGAAGAATTTAGGATTTTTGACCTCTGTTTTTAAACTAATTTGTGAAAGAACCATTGTCTTTAATCTAGTAAAATGTGAAATCAATCTTTTTAAAGAAACTGCCATAACAAAGCCTTAAATCACCGGGTCAAATTTTGTTCGTTCGAAAAAAATTGCAATATGAAGCAGTCAACTACAGGAAGTTATTTATGTACTTTCGAAACATACGGATTGATATAAACTACGCGCTCTTCAAGCTAAATATTAAATTATAAAATAACACCTACAAATTCCCCAAAAACTAAATCACACAATATATGTATACTATATTACAATCGGATTTTCTTTTCGTTCTTTTTAAAACAATATAAATCGATTTTAGCATTAAAAGCAAAGGCTGCAAAAGAGATTGAGTCAACGACAGAGAAATGGCTTATAAATGAAGAATGTGTAAATTGGGTGTGTTGGTGGGAAAGCGATTAATAGCGCCTGTTGTTGTTGCGCCCGCGATTTCTGCCACCGCCTCCTCCTCCTCCTCCACCTGCACCTCCTCCGCCGCCACCAGAACCGGAATTATTGTTGCCCCGCCGGCGACGTTGACCTGCTCCTCCATTATTCCCGCTCTTTTGGAAGTCTCGATCCCGATCGCTGAAGTTATCTGCGCCATTGTTACCGAAGCCATTGGATCCATTGCCACTGGAGTTGCCATTATTTGACCAAGGGGCATTGGAAGCCCAGGGATTGGGTCTGCCCCCTGACTGGTCTCTCTCGCGCTCTCGTCCGCGATCCCGATCTCTTTCCCTGTCGCGGTCACCGTCTCGTTCCCGTTCGCGTTCCCTTTCCCTCTGCTCTAGTGGCGGTTCGTCCACAAACTCCGTGTTAGGTTGCTGGGCTTTCGCCGTGACCAGCGATTGCAGGAAGGGCTTCTTAAGTTGCAGCAGTTCTCGGACGCAGACCAACTGAGCGTTATGCTGACGCGGCTCAAAGCGGGACTTCTTGGTAGGTGGAGAAACCACCTCGCCACGTGCCTCCACCGTAGGCGAAACGGATCTAGAGCGCTCCCTCACTGGAACCACATCATTGAGCTCTTCCAGCTTGCCGGCGTCGATGTATTTGTTGAGGAACTCGGTTCCCTGTCGAATAGCAGCCATCAGTCGGGAGTCCGGATGCACTCGAATAAATCGATTGTACACCAACACCCCTACAATTGTCTGGGGATCAAGACCATTAAGCATGCCGCTGGCCAGGATGCCCTCCATGGTGTTCTCGCTGATCTGCTGGTGGTTCAATCCGCTTGTCGAGTCCTTAGCCTCGCGGGCGGCCAGCTCGTCATGGATGCTAAGCACGCTGGGATCGTCCGCTCGCCGGGGTCCCGCCCAGTTCACCTGAAAGTTGCGCGGAATGGGTTTGCTGTAGGGAACCTTCTTCTCCCGGTCGCGGTCGTTTAGCGCTCTACTCGGATCCAAGTCCAGACCAGGAATAAAGCCCTTGTCGGCTGTTAAACTTTCGGTAAACTCAACCCGGTCCTCGGGACCCATTCCTGGTATAATAGCGTCATCTGTTAAGGAAGATGGGAAGTTAAAAAGTTTTTCAGGACATATTTGACATTTGGTAACCTACCATATTCACACTCGTCCAAAGCTGCCAAGCTGGCGGGCAATGTGTTTAGATTGTATTTATCTCTCATCAGATCTCCCGGCCGGTTCCTCGTCCAAAACTTGATCGTATGATCGTTGGAGCCGGAACACAGAATGTGACCCAGCGGATGCCAGGCCAGAGTCCACACAATGCTGTCATGTGCCGTCTCCACACAGCCAATCTCCTTATCGGTACTGTACGGAAAGAAATCCATCAGGCCACATAACTTTAAAACTTCCATTCCAATAACGAACCCAACATTCCAGAACAAAATCGAACCATCAGAGCCACCTGAGCAAAATAGACCCTCGTGTATGGGGTGCCAGGATACTGAGCTTGCCTCCTTCTTGTGGCCACGGAAAACCTGAACCTCCTCCCGCAGGTTACGAATGTCGAAGAGCTTAAGCAGATGATCTCTGGAGGCTGTCACCAGCCAGTTGCCATTGTCATTCCACTTCAGATCCATTACAGTGGATTTGTGGGCATGTCTGTTTAATATATGTATATAAGAAGAATCTTGGGTTCAGTTTTGGTTTACAATTTCAAATATAACATTTCAAATTGTGTTGCATTAAGTATGCCATATTTAGACCAAAATGTACGAAATGTATTATTTATTTGCAAAAAATTGCATACTTACAGCGTGGCCAGAGCTATTCCGCTTTTGGGATCCCAGATTTTTATGGGTTGCTGGTTGTCCTTGCTCCCGCTGACAATCATTCCCTTGTGTGGATGCCAGTGCACGCACTTTACGTCTGCTCCGTGACCTATTTTAAGAAATTTAGTTAGCCCTGGTGGCTCTGTGTTTAGATGATCTTTTCAATCTCACCTCGTAGCACTCTCTCTTCCTGGCATCGCATAAAGTCCCATATCCTCAGAGTTCCGTCGTCACTGCCGCTAACAAACTTGCTGTCCGTGGGACTGAAACTGCGTTTGGTGGATTGCATTGGAGAATGGTTAGAACGTAACAAAACACGAATTGAGAGATGATTATGAGTGTGGACGAATGAAAAAAATATAGTCCCCTGCTAACACACACCACATTTTAAAAAAGTAGATGAAAGGGCTTGCCAAGAAGAATAAGCTAAAGCCTAATAAACACCAATGTAACACTGGAGCTAAGGAATACTCAACCAAAAATGTATACTATGAAAGGAAAGGTCTATCTAAAACATAAGAAATGTCTAAATCTTAATATTACCATAAAAAGTGTTTACTTATAATTTTAAGCGGTACACTTTAAAAATTTGGGACTTGATTATTATAGAAATAGTTATATTCTAAGCAGTGATAATTTTAAATTATCATTTTTTAATATTGTCAGGCAATTACCTTTTTTTTTGTTAGAAATGTAATATGATTGAAAAAATATTATTGGTTTAAAAACGGTTATTAAATAATGATAAGTATTTACCAAAAAATTAAGAAATAAATAAAAAATATAGTTGTATTAATAACATTTTTTTAAATTATATTTTTCCGCACAACTCTTTTTTAATTTTTTTTATTTGAGGTAAAATGTGAGGTTTGCAGAATTACTTTATCTCTCGCCAGACGGGTTACCCATTCGCCAAGAATTATCGCCAGGCTTGAGAAAGAAAACACTCGAACCCCCGATTTTTAGAACAATCAGTGCAACGCATTGCATTTATTTTATTGTTGATGTTGTGGCCGGGAAAATAAAATTGTGCAGTGGTTTCTTTTTGTTCTTAGTCAGTTGCTTTTATTGTTAGCTTTTCGCAGTATTGCACTTATATCATTTCACTTTCAGTCTTTTTATTTCTTTTATCTTTATTGATATATCACAGAAGAGTTGAAGGCTTACAACATATTTGAGCCTTTTTTTCTAATGAAGAGGTTATAAGGTAAGTAGCCAATTGGAGGCTAGAAAATAAGACGAAGCTTATATCTGGGCGGCATGTTGCTGAATTAACGGCTTTATTGGTATGTATATGCAACAGCCCTGAAAGGAACCGATCCACTAATCTGATCAGGAAGCAAAATATATCGAAAACGGCCCAAGCGACCCAAACAAAAGAAACTATGGGAGCAACGCGATTCTGGCTTTTGTTTTGACTTGTTTGGCTTGCGTCAGCGGCTACAAAATGGTAAGTACAGTCGACAGTTACAATTAAATGGCTATACCTTATTCCCCTAATCGCCTCCTTGTGGGCCTGGTACATCTTCACGTTGTTCATGTTGGACTGCCAGTACTTAACATAGCCACCATGATCACCGGTCACCATCCAGCTGTCGTTGTGCGACCACACCATCGTTCGCACCGAAATATCGTGGGCCTGTTTGACAATATTAACGATTAGATGTGATCCCATGGGATCTGCCGACGGAAACCCACCTGTAGAATGGTCTCGAAGTTAAAGGTCAGGCCGTTCCAGAGCGTAAACTCCCCAGAGCTGGCCCCAGTGACCAAACGTCTGCCTTCCGGCGTCCAGGCTAGTGTGAAAATGGGACAGCGCATTTTATTCGTGGCTGTCTTAACGAATCTTGTGGTCACCGCATTAGACGGGTTGTCCAGGTAAGCGGAAGGGGGCAACATATGGGGCACGTAAATGCTGTCAGGCTGCAAGGCCAAGCGGTCCCGATGATCACGCTGGAAAAGGCGGTTCTGCGGGAAACCAATAAAATAATATGTTTATTTTTAAAGTTATCAATTTTCGCTGTCTCGTATGTTTTTTTATTATTGTTTTACGAGATATCGGATGTCTCAGGATTGTCTTCGGGGTTGGTTGAAAAAGGAAATTAAAAATCTGATTATGACAAATTGTTTTTTCTTGTTTCGAAAAAAAAATTCCTAAACTTTTAACAACGGTTGGTTTAAATTGAAATTTAAAGTGAAAAGTAAAAAAAGCCATCTCATAAAAATGATTGGTACATCAATGTTAAAGAACTCTCTAAACCTTTTGGCAATTGTAATCTGGCTGGTGGAGACACCATACAAACATACAGAATAGATTGCTCAAGTGTTTAGCCAAAGTTGACAAGTCTCTAAAGATTTCAAACTAACTATAAAAGATGTCTGCTAATCTCCTCAGATAAAACTAGTCTCTAGTTTATTTGTGACACCCGTCGGAACCCAAAGAATCACCTCCAATGTCTTAATGATGGACGCGTTGTAGTCCACAGTCTTTCGCATCACACTCTTGCGCAGCCGCTTGCCGTCGAAGTCATCCTGGGACATCCCGAATGGCCGCTGAAAGCCGCCGGGCATGAAGGGCTTGAACTGGTTATAGCCATGCTTGTTGGCGCCGTGATGTGGATGGTAGTGGCGGTAGTGCTGACCGCCCATGTTCGGCGGCGGCAGAGATGTGAAGTTGGTGGCCAGCGCCGAGGGCGCGGTGAGGAGCTGCGGCGGCGGCTGGGACACGTCC